GGCGGCAGGCGGGGAACCTTGGCTTCCTCCATCACTGGAGCAAGCAAGCCTCCTGTTCGCTTCAGCTGCCTGGCTGCCGGCCGCCATCTTGGTTGGCAGTTAATTTGCATATCCTGCTGATTAGCCAATGGGAAGCGTTTGGGGGTATGGTCAATTTGCATGTTTCTCTTTTATTAGATAGGATAAGTGGCAGTCACCACGTTAAGTAGTAATCAGAATTACCTCCACTAATGGTAGGACAACCAACATCTTGTGCCTCCTGATAGAGTATCATTGCCAATAATACTTGACCTGAATCTAAGCAATCTTCTAGTCCTACCATTCAGTTCCCAAGGAAAATAAGGTTATTAGAACCAGTTAAATAGCACTTTCAGAAAATCATCAAATAAATGCAGAATTTGGGATAAAAGTCAATGTTATGAAAAACAAAAATAGGCATTAGAGTGTAGGGGGAGCATAAGAGGCTGTTTTGATTTTTAAAAGCCAAAAGGCACTTAAGGACCAAATGTAATACATTAATCTTTGGGTCCTGGATCGGGGGCAGAAGGGCAGTTTGAAAAGACATTTTGGAAACACCTGTGGAGATGTGGATGTGGCCCAAATAGTGATTGATGATTTGTAGAAATATTAATTGTCTTACAGATGATAATCTTACTGTGATTATGTAGGAGAATGTCCTTAGTCAAAAGAGATGCATGTTGACATGTTTAAGGGTTACATGCCATGAGGTCTGCAGATTGCTTTCAAATAGTCCCCCAAACAAGCAAGCGTGGGGTGTGTGTGTGTGTGGTGGCGGGGAGGGATAGGAATCAGATGTGGCAGTGCAGTAATTGGTGATCTGGAGCAAGCGTGGGGTGTGTGTGTGTGTGGTGGCGGGGGGGGATAGGAATCAGATGTGGCAGTGCAGTAATTGGTGATCTGGGTTTTTATTGTTCTGCTCTTTCAAGTTTTCTATAGGCTTGGCTATTTTTGATGCTAAAAGTACTGGACCAAAAAGCAAAAAGACTTTCCCAGAAGACCTCCAGTTGGCTAGCTAGAATTGCATCATGTACCCATGCCTAACCCGAGCCACTGACAGAAAAGATAGATCACAGTGACAGCCTTTTAAACCATCAGGACCTCTTTCTAAGTACCCATCCGATCAGAGGCAAAGGGCTAGCTGAACCAAATCAGAGGAAAGGGAAAGGCTAAATAGTTGTCAGTAGTGTTTGCTGTAGTAAAATTTATTAATTTTAAGCAAAAATGGCTTCTTATAATTGATTCTTTTACATAATTAAAAAGTTTTATATAATTAAAAGTTGCAATAATTGAATATTATTTCATACACTCAAATTTTAAAGTATCCTTGTACGATAGCTTTCATTTTCATAAGGTTTATCTTTCGTTTTTTAAATAAGTGCATTCTTAGCTGTTACATTCTTTTAGTTTGAGACTTGTAAATATTTTCTTTTATTACTTTTTACAGGTTATCCGCACTTTAGATCCTAAACAAAATCAAGGAGCAGCACCAGAAATTCAAGCTCTTAAAAATCAGCTTCAAGAACGGGATCGAATGTTCCATTCATTAGAGGTAGTTCACTGTACTAGACAATAAGATATTTCATTTTTTTATTTTTTTTCTAGAAGCCTTGCTATATGTGGTTATCTCCATTAATTTAGAGAGTAAATTGTGACTATTGATATGAAATTGCTTTTCATGTTTACATGTTTACATGTGCTTGTATTTTAGAAAGAATATGAGAAAACAAAGAGTCAAAGAGAGATGGAAGAAAAATATATTGTTAGTGCCTGGTACAATATGGTAAGAAAAGAACACCTCTAAACATATTGTGAAGTTCAGTGAATATGTAATACTTATTACATGCCCTTTACTGTAGAAGTAATTCTGCCAAAGGAATCTGAAAGTAATACGATCCTAACACACACTAACAAAACCTAATGCTGATCTTGGGACTGAAAAGCAGATGTGAGAACCTTCAGATGCATGGTTAGGGTATTTTGAACACATCATTATCCCTAGAGAATAGAAAGATAAATGACAGTTTGATTTCTGTCTCTTAGAACCATTTTCTTCTAGAGGAAAGGGACTTTAGTAATATCTAAATACTGAAGCAGTAGCTTTTGTTTTGTGGGATTTTGCATGAATGGTACTTATACTGAGTGAGGTTTAACTATCTCATAGGGTTTTAAAAATGTTTATGATTGATAGACCCTGAACGACTGGAAGTTTTGAAATTGGATTTCCAACACACACCAAAAAAAACTTTAAATGTATTGCAGGGAAAAATAAATGTTCATCACATTATGCTTTAATGTGATTTTCTGGATATAAATAGTTGTGGTTTTTAGAAACTACTGTACTTTTTGTCATTTTTTTCTTCTTTGTTCTTCTCTTCAGTAAGACCACTTTCTGCCTTTTCATTGTTAGTTGCTTAAGAACCCTGAACGCTGGAAGTTTTGAAATTGGATTTCCAACACACACCAAAAAAAACTTTAAATGTATTGCAGGGAAAAATAAATGTTCATCACATTATGCTTTAATGTGATTTTCTGGATATAAATAGTTGTGGTTTTTAGAAACTACTGTACTTTTTGTCATTTTTTTCTTCTTTGTTCTTCTCTTCAGTAAGACCACTTTCTGCCTTTTCATTGTTAGTTGCTTAAGAAAGGAAATTAAACCAGATTCCTTTCAGCAATCCTCTTCAACACTAAAGTTGTGTTAATGGCACAATACCATTATTTCTGTTTTACAGTTATAATTGATACTGTGTCTTAAAGGTTAGTGTCCCAGGCCTCCTAATTCCATGTTTTGACCTTTGTTAAAATTAACACAATTTCATGACATGTCCACATTTACATTTGCCTTGGTTAAAACTACATATTTAAGATTTTATCACAATTTAAAAAAACAAAAGAGGAAATCAATAAGTTTAAAGTACTATTACTGTTAACAAGTATAGGTTTCTTGAAAATTAAAATTAAACAATAGGAAAAAGTTATATATTTAAGGAAGTTCTCTGGGAACTAGTCTTGACTCCACCTATTCTCTTTCCTCTATATCCTTCCTAAAAGTTAGAGCCATCTTGGAGCTCTGCCCTCAATCCTTATTAGTAATTTCATATTCTTGATTGATTTTTATAACTCCACATATTGTGTTTCTAATGGAACTAAATTTATTTATCCTGTGATATAATATTAAAGAATAGTCCTAATTTTCAGCTCTTCATAGGCTGAAGGAATAACTGAGTAGACTAAACACAAGTTAATGTTCAGGTAATATAGCCAGTAACAGCTTCATACATACATTCAGAAAGTTCTGCATCTCCTTCAACCGAAATGGAAGTGAAGATGACAAGTGCTGGGAAAAGGTATTAAGTGTCTCAGAGAATGGCTTTGTGATGGATACTGAGGTCTTGAAAGTGTATGAAGAATTTGAATAAGTTGCTTGGAATATGAGAGTGAAAAAAATAGTATATTTAAATGAAATATAAATATATTGGGTATCCAAAAAAATATATACACATACTTTGAATAAGTATAAAGGCATTATTGAAATACATTTCATTTTCAAAATTGAGCTATCAGCTATTAGTGTATGCATTTTGGGGGATACCTTATATGTAGCCAAATGGAATAAAGATTACCAATAGATTTCTGTCAGTTTTATTCAGATCCTTAAATGCTTTGATTTCAAATTGAGTGAAAAACCTATTCTGGATTGTCTCGTAGGCAAAATGGAGGAATGTGTTAATGTATTTGGGAATATATGATAGACTGCAATTCTATTAAAAATGCAAAGCCATGACCAGTGTTTTAACTAGTGATAGGAAGACTTATCTTTTAGTCTTCTGCCTCCTGTGCCAGTTTGTCCCTTTCATTCTGGGAAGGCTGCGTGTCTTAGTATAGCTTAGCTTTAGCTGCCGGACTCTCCTCCTGGCTCCCAATTGCTCATTTCCTCCTTGTTGCCTTCCACTTCCTCCCATCAATTTACTTGTATCCAGTCACTGGTCAGATTAAACAGCCGCTCTCAGTGCTCCATGTTTGTCTGGTGTAGGTTCTTCACTGGCTTATTAAATGACTACCAAAACCACTTTTTTCCTGATCTCCTCATAGGCTGTTCATTGTGATTATTCCTCTGTGTTTAGAGTACACCCCCCAGAGGTTATTTTCTCCTGTTAAGGTGCTCTGGCCCCAGCAATTATGGCTCTTCTCCCTTCAAGCTAGTAGGCCATCCTCCTGTCTTCAAGAAAGACCCCCTGCTCCCTGTTGGGCCTCTGTTTGGGGCTGTCAGGAACTTTTCTTAAGTTGTTTGAGAATACAAGTCCACCTGAAGTGAAGAAAAACAGCATGGTGGTATGTATTGAATCTAGTGTGCCTTTCCACCTTAAGGAACAGCAAGTGCATTTGTGGTTTGCCATTCTAAATATGCCCTGATTGCCACAGCCCCTTGTGAATCAACTGCTACCAATCAATTGCACTATTTTTCTTGGAAAATCACTTCATACATTTGATTTGAAAGGGAAGTGTGATTGAGAATCGGTATTCCAAAATCTGTCTCTATTATGTATTGTTTTGGTTATTGCCTATTCAGAAAACTAACTCTTCATTTTTCCAAAGGAAAATTTGTACCTAATTGTTGGAACTGAAATATCTATAAAATTTTAATCTATAATGAGCAGAATTAACATTTCTAATTGTGCCTTCTGATGCAATGTAAGAAAATCTGCATGATGAAATTGTCTTTTATGAGAGTATGTTCCACTACTTTTTCATTGATTACCTTTTTTTTCTGTGTGATATAGGGAATGACTCTGCATAAAAAGGCGGCGGAAGATAGACTTGCTAGTACAGGTTCAGGGCAGTCATTTCTGGCTAGGCAACGACAAGCAACCAGCACAAGAAGATCTTACCCAGGCCATGTTCAACCAGCCACAGCAAGGTAGACAAGTCTTGCCAGTAGAATAAAAACATCCTGCATTCAAAACATACTTCTGTTACACATAACACCATTTCAGGAAATTCAGCCAGCTTATTTTTTGTCTCTATGTTATGTTAATATTTAGTTGTTTCTCATTTGAGGACTGTCTCTCCGTATCTATGATGTTTTAGTTTCTTGGTCCTTTATTTTGTAGTCTTTTCAGTTCCTTTTCATGTGCCAAAAATTTTTTAAATGCCCAATTAAAAGTGTTGGATAATAGTATAGTACTTTTCTTTGTATGAAAATGTCCTTTCCCCAATGGTGTATGTAGGCTTTGTAATGAATTAGATTTTCTGCCAATAATTGATATACAAGAATTATATTCTTTATTGTGCCTCTGTGTTACCATGCTTTATAAGAATGTCTTTGTTTAAAGGGAATTAATCTTTTTATGATGTATTAATCTGTGTTTTCAATTGTTTTCCAAATGCACTTCAAATAACTTGCATATTTACTATATAAAATGAATGGTTGGCAAATGCACTTTTTGCAAAGACATAAATATATTGGCAGAGGTGCTAATTAGATCTTACCTATGGCACCTGGTAGAGTTATTTAGAGGGAAAAATTAGTTTTCACGTTGTTTTATAGGAAATTAAATTTGTTTGAAGATTTGGAAACTATTTTTAAAACATAAATACATAGAATTTTATTATTTCTTGCTATCTTGCCGGCAGAAGTGAATGCATTGGTTAGGTTATTAGGGGGGAAGTTACAGAAGAGAAAAAAGTCAGGCAGTGCATTAATTGTTTCTTATTTTGGAATATCACAGTAACTGAGGATCAGAATCTGGTAGTGTGGCTGATATTAATAGTTTCAATTGCCCTCTATATCTTATACCTATTTTTCATATATTTACAAGTAATAGATAGCATTACCCTTTGGGGAACTTCTTGACTTGCATCTCTTGTTTTATTTATTCATTAATATAAACACTTCTATTCCTCAATAATTCCTAATACTTAACATCTTAATATCAGTCATTAAGATCAGCAAAGGACTTCTTATACGTGCTGTTGTGACAAGTCTCTTTTACATTTTTTTCCTAATTCTATGTATTAGTCCAAGAATTTGCTACTGAACAGATTCTCTTGGGTATTTGGTTGCATCAAAGTGTTTAGATTCATTGATAGCTTGATTGTAAACCATGTTTATTTACATTGATGAATGGTTGTCAAGTAATAATGATTGTAAAGCACTTTGAGTATATAAGGTGCTACATAAATGTAAAATATCATTTATTTGAAAATGAAATGCCTCTGCCTGCCTTTACGTATTAATTCAAGCATTTGGTCCCCAATTATATTTAAGTTCTCCTCCAGCCTTTTTCTTACACCATAACCCATTTTATTAAAAGCAAAATAATTACTGAAATTAGGTCAATTTTTTAATTTGTTTGTTTTTGTTTTTAGATAGGTCACCAAGTAAGAGGATTTTATTTCATGTACATGCTGTTGTGGAAGTTCAGGTTTCATTTATTTCTGTATATTAATACAAATTAGTAATTTTAAATCAATCCAAATGTAATTCAGAATTTTCATAAATTGTAGTCAAATGTTTGGTTTTAAATTCCTACTTCCATTTTTATAAGAAAATCGACCTAAAAATTAGTGGTGTTTTCATTTGTCCTCAGAAATCGTACTTGAAGAAAGTATTAGAATATACACAGAAATGACTTTATGCATTGTGCTGATTCTTACATTAAGTACAGAAATCTAAGCGCAGTGTGAATGCTTCTGCCTAATATGACCATAAAGCAGCAAGAATTAGTGATAATGGACAGAACCACCTGAGTAGAGTGCATTGTGAGATTTCAGGAGGCTAAGCCAAACTGATCAACATAAAAAGTTTTGACAATAAAAGATCAAAAACTATTTAGGATGGTTCTTACCCCCAACCCCTGATTTTACAAATCACATAAGGATTCACCTGTTTTAAAACAGAGTGTGAAACTAATCTTGGTTAAATTAAAATAATTGGGAAATTATACCTGTAGAATAAGATAGATGGACATAAAGAGTCTATGAACTATTTATTTAAAGGATTATATCCTATAAGATACGAAGTTTTTATTTTACTTCTCTATTTACTGCCCCAGCCCTGGTCTCTGACCCACCCACCTACTCAGATATAGTTCTCTAAATGGGTTAGAAAGGTGCCAAGCTTTTAGAAGGAAGTTTTACTTCTTATTTTTCTTCGGCATCTGTTGTTTTATGCTATTATTTTGGTGTTTTACAGTGATAACTTTCACTCTCCTTTACTGTACCCTTAAAGTTTAGTATATTACTTTCAAGTATATAGAAGAAATTATATTTCTAAACATTGTTTGATTTTTTTTTTTTAAAGCAGGAGTAACACTTAGCTATAACAGTGACAACTCTGTCCAGCTTTGGACATGATTTATGAAATTGCTCTCTCTCCTGTAATGCTTAGTAATTTCTCAGGAGGTTTGTGATGATGCATGGTCTCTCTGGAAGGTGGAAGACATTGGGTGCTTTATTTAGATGTGAGCTGTGCTGTATTTTCACAAACCCCTTAGACACAGTAGCCACAGTTCACTTGGACAGTGGAGCTAGTCCTGTCCTCACCAATGGACGAAGTACAGTGTTATTGCATTAGGTTGAGGTGATCCATCAGCCTACTCTAGTGTCTGAATTCTTATAATCAAAAAGCTTATTTGCTGTTTTCCTTCTAGCCATGGTAGGAAAATATAAGGTAAATAACTAAGGAATATTAAAGCATAAAATTTATGTTCTGCAGTGTCTATTTAAGAAGTTCATTATGAAAAAAAAATGCAGCAAATATTGTAGTTTACCACATCTAAAAAGAGAATAAACAGTACAGTTGTACTTAAAAGAACTTCCCAAAATTTCAGTTATATCTTTTTATAATTTGTCTAATTACTTGTTAATAGTCAAGAAAAAGAAGTCCCTAAATAAAGGACCCATGTTCCAAAATTGATCAAGATTGAATTATTTCTATTAGATAGCACTAGCCTGGTTCAAAAAAAACAACACAAAAAATATTGGCTTAATGCAGTGGTTCTCAACCTGTGAGTCGCGACCCCTTTGGCATTGGCTTAATGCAGTGGTTCTCAACCTGTGAGTCGCCGACCCCTTTGGGGGTCGAACGACCCTTTCACAGGGGTCGCCTAAGTACATCCTGCATATCAGATATTTACATTACGATTCACAACAGTAGCAAAATTACAGTTATGAAGTAGCAACAAAAATAATTTTATGGTTGGGGGTCACCACAACATGAACTGTATTAAAGGGTCACAGCATTAGGAAGGTTGAGAACCACTGGCTTAATGGGATACTTAGATTATAATAAGGAAATATTGTTTGTAATTTTGTTGAATTTTTATTGCTTTGTTTATATAATAAAAGCTCAAATGTACAAAATTAAGCTAAATGTTATCCAGCCAGAGACTTCAGCCTATATATTTCATTAGTTTTCACAAAGGCATGAAAATTCATGCTGTCCAAGTAGATCAGCAATAAGTTGTAAGTGAAAGATGAGTTTAGTTGAAGAAAAGACATTTTATTTATGTGCTGCTTTACTCGCATCTCCTTTTCAATAACAGTTTTGTTAACTAATGGCATAAAATATTTTTTAGTATCTCTTGCTCTTAGATAAGCATTTATCCTTTAAAGATAATAACCATGTTAAAAACTTGAAAATCTTTATCCCGATATAAGAATTACCTTGCAACACAAATCTAAAATTTTAAATTATCTTAACTCTGCATTGAATCTCCAATTGTCCAGATCTCAGACTCCAGGAATGTTACAGTTATCCTCAGTTGGAACCTGTGAGATTTATCTGAAAAAGCATCCACAACTCACAGCTAGTAAGTACAAACCTAGCTAGTGCACAGACACGTGGATCAGACATCTCTGGTCCTACCGTGAGAGAAAAGTACTCAGCATCTTGCTTTTGCTAAGGGAAAAATAACAACATTAAGGCAAAATGCTTTTTGTTGTCTGTTCATTAAACTATGGAAGGATATTTTTACTTCTTAGCCTTGTATTATGAAGGGGCCCTTTTCTTAGAAATGGCTGTAGAACGGATGTAGCATTGTACTTCTTAACAGCAAAGCCTGTGTGATATCCCAAAGTAGGATGAAGGAGTGTACTCAACAAAATTAAAATGGGATATCAGAAACTTTGAACATTCTTTTAGCATGTTTTTTCATTTTGTCCTTTTTTTTAATATAAGTTAAAAGGATTTTCCATTCAATAATGATCATCTCTTTTCCTATAGCTCCCACTGTTAACTTCGGCAGCTTCTTTTGGTAGTTGTACAACCCAGTTTCATTACATTTAGAAAGCGGTTTCAGAGCTCATTCTTTGTAACTATAATGATTTTATTTCATGTAGTTTTTATATGAGGAAGGTTATTCTCAATGTATCTGTCATCCAATTTTTTACTTTCTATAAAGCATATTTAAATAAGAATTGGTGTATGTTCCTTTTATTGAAAAATTTGCAAAGGTTTTATTGTCTAATGTCAGCACAATAATTTTAGGGCCTAAAGTTTTGCAGTAAATATCATTCATTTCTCAGAAGCCTAAAACACATGAAATAATTTGTTTCTAACAGCTAATGTCTACCCCTCCCCATTCCCTCAAATCACGGAAGCATTAATATTTAGCTTCCTTTTTGTAAATGAAGGATAGTGCAGATGTAATGACATACTTCTCTTTTAAGTCACTAATTATGTTTTTGGGAAGTATGTACTGATTTTTTTAATAGTCTTTTATATTCATAAAGATAATACAATTCACATGTATTATCTTTATGAATATAAAAACTTATGACCTTTATATTTAATGTCATCTTTAAATGCACTTGGATTCTTCACATTGCACTTAAAATGATAGAGAAGGGACAGTAGTTATTGAAAAACTAGACACCTGAACCTAGTTATGAGTTTTGGCAGTATTGGGGGATCTATAAATGTTTTCTAACAATTATATATCAGCAATTACAGCTATGTCTCTTCAGTATTTTTCTGTTTTCTAATAACATTCTGTAAGATAAGATTGTATGCTGTATATAAGTGAGCATAGAAATCTGAGAAAGTAATAGAACTGCTGTTAAGGCAAATCCTAGAGAGTAGAGTGGATTTTTGGGATAAGAAATGGCCTAGTTATAAAACACATCCAGGCAGATGGAAGTATTAATACAATTAAAACTTACATTGTCTTAACAAATGTTCCTGAAGTAAAAGTTCACATAAAATTTTCTGACTTTATTATGTGATCATTCGATAAAAAAGAATAGGCAAAAACATAATTTATTTTTTAATTATCCTTCCCTTCATTAGGCATTAACCGGGCACACACTATTAACTATATATGTTATATTGGAGGGGAAAGCATCTGTTTTCATTTTGAAACCGTTAGCCCATTACTAGACCTAAGGTAGTGATTTAAGGTCATTAAGAATACTGTGATTTGTCCGGCCAGTGTGGCTCAGTGGTTAAACATCGGCCTATGAACCAGGAGGTCATGGTTTGATTCCCAGTCAGGGCACATGCCCAGGTTGCAGGCTCAATTCCCATTAGGGGGTGTGCAGGAGGCCGTCAATCAATGATTCTCACCATTGATGTTTCTATCTCTCCCTCTCCCTTCCTCTCTGAAATCAATAAAAATATTTTTTTAAAAAAAGAATACTGTGATTTGATGAGATGAGAAGAAATCTGTCCCTCTTAATTATACATAATAGCACCACAGAAAATTTTTTTTAAAGTGAAGGCAAGAGTATACATTTAAAAAATATATATTCAAGAAGAGCCCTTATATACCTAATACATTATCACCAGGCTCTGAATTAGATGGTTAGGGTCTGAAGATGAAGTCATCAGAGAAGGTATCCATAGCTGCAAAATTTTAGGCCCCAGGGGCTATCAAATATCCTGAATTATATCTACTCAGAGCTTAAAGGAAAAATTAAATGCCATGAGAAGAACAATCTCAAAGTGAGAAAAAGAAAACTATCAAAGCATGCTGAGGTTCTAATAATGTACATGGGAGACTTTAGAGATTTCTAAATTGACAAAAGATAGTAATTAGTTTAGCAACTATATTGTGAAATTAATAAAAGGGACTCATTTATTCTTGGTGTATTTGTCAACATATGGTCGGTGATTACTGTATATACATTCTATCATGTTTATTTTATATATGTCACTATTAGAAATGAGTTTTATTATTTACTGTTACTTCTAATCATTTATGTATTATTTATACTTCATTGCAAGATTCACAGCACTTTACTAATATTAGATAATTTTTTTCCTTCTACCTTTCTGTGGCATGTTTTTATTTATCTTTCCACTGGGGTTATTTTCCTTATTTTGGAGCACTCACTAAGAAAAATGTAAAAGATTGCCTAAATGGGCTTTGTACTCTTCCTAAAATTTTTAAAGTCAGATCTGAAGTTCTAAGTCTGGAAATCTATTTGAAGGTGAGTTGGGGTTGCTAAACATGAATTAAAATTTATATTTCACAATAAGACCCTTTTATAAGTTAATAACTCATGAAACCAAGTTCTCCCAAATGCAAACACCCTTGAAACGTTTTGTTTCCTGGAGTTGCAGTAATAAAAAGTAAACAGTCTTCTGATGAATCAGAAGATATTCTTACCTTTGATTTCCCTGGCTCCTAAAATACCTACAAACTGTCTTTAACTAAGGTTCATAGTTTCTTCATCACTGCATATACCCAAAGATAGGAGAAAGAAAGCCAAGTGCCAGGAGCTTTGAAGTCAGAGAATCTGGTAAGTGGTGGGCATGATTTGATGGGGAAAGGCTGGCTCTAAGAGGGCCAAATACTACAGAAATATTCTTAGTTCTACTGTAACAGATATGCTTTATGAACTTGGTCATTTTCCTGAATTCAAATATAGCAAAGTTTTTAGCTTACTAAGAGATGTTTTTAGGAGTCAGGACTCTTCCATTTGTAACTTAAATATAATAGCATTTAAATGATAGTCAAAAAGTATTAGAATAGTTGTTTTTACATAAGCATTGACACACACATGATTACTGCCAAAGAATAGGAAGATTTTTTCATAAGAACATTCTCTTAGAGTTTTGTATTATTTTGTATTGTCAGGTGAGAGAAATATTTTTATAGTGTGAGAAGTTTCTGTAGTATTTCCTTTTGCAGTACTGCCTGTTCTACTGATGTGCTTTGCACACACGCACGCACACAAGAACGAAATGTGTTTTGGGTATCTACTAATTAGTTGTTGAATGGATAGGTCTCCTTCTAATTGTCTTGATCGTCCATTGGCTTCTTGTTAATCTAGATAAGAGTAGATTTTAGACCTGCACTGCCCAATTCATTAGCTGCTAGCCACATGTAACAATTTAAAATAAAATAAAAATCTGGTTCCTCAGTCACCTAGCCACACTTTAAGTACTTCAGTAACCACAGCCACACATAGGTAGTGATTACTATATTGGCCAAACCAGATTTACAATATTTTTGTCATTGCAGAAAATACTTTTTGCCAGTGCTGTAATAATACCCAAAGGGAAAATAAGGACAAGAGGAAGGTATTTAATTAATGTATGATAACTCTTAGATTTTACTGCAAAATTAATACCAGCTCTTTTCAGAGACCTTGGAAAGATGAAAACCCCATTCTTTGAAACTAGTTTTCAGTATATATATTGTTTTCAACTTTATTTTTATTGTTGACACTATTAAACAGATTCTCACATTTTTCAAGTAATATAATTATATCATTTCATAAATCATAATTTAGTATCTTCAGGGTTTTTTTATGTAGTGTTTTAACGATAATGATAGTTTCTAACATTTACCAAGCAGAAACTGATGAATGCTTAATTTATTTACAAAAAAATTGATAAACACATTCTTCTATTTTACTTTTAAATCTGTAAAGAGCTAATGAAAGTTGCCAACAGTTTTTTTCTGTCCCTAAGATCATATTGTCTTCCATCTTAAAAGTACATCAAGATCTAAATAATT